AACGTATACGTATATGATATAGAAAATACCGGAAAAAGCTCACTTATTTGGAATATAAGAACGTAATAGAAAATACTTAAAAAAACTCACTTATTTGTAATATTTGTTCAATTTGGAATGAGCCTTCTCTGTCATGAAGAGAAACTATTAAATGCAGTCCTAAGCACATCTCGGTTCAGACACAATAGTCGTGATGCATGTCATATCTAATAATTACGTTGAGTTTAACATCAGAAAATATTGAAATCTTAAGTGAAATAAAATGTTTCATTTACCTCATAATCTTTTACCTAATAAGCTCATTTAACAACATAAAAACATATCAGCTAGCTGTTTTCATCACGACACATTGTTGATTTTAAGATCGATTCCTAGAAGCCTTTCCTCGTTCGCCACTTCTTCTAGCTCACTGTCCTCGCTCACACTTTCATYGGGTGTATTATATTCTTCTCCTCAAGCAATTTCCGGCTCAAATTGATAAAGAACAGCCATACTTCCATAGCGAAATTTGGTAGATTCAGCTCCAGCTATCCAACATGTTCCACTATCTGACGTCATCACACCTCATTCATCCCAAGCCATCAAATCCGCGATATTCCACAGGGAGCCCAGCTTAAGTCATTTCGCAACTTTGACGGACGATATCACCCCAAAAAACGCATTTCATGGAATTTTCATTTCGATTTTCAAAATCAACAAGGTTTGATGTACATTTTAAGCTATGATGTGTCTGGCACCTCAGAGTCCCTTTAAGCGCCTAGACATTGTTTGGTCATGTAGTAGTCAAGGAACCGAATGAAACATTATATATTTTCTGAATAAACCAAATAAACCGAGTTTTACGAACATGGTACATACATTAGCCACCAATGTTTTGGTTTGAGTTGAATGTATGACGTTATACGTTACTCGTGCCAGTCTTCTTGAGCCGAATTATTGTAACAAGAAATTTATGGCGGACGAAAATAAATCGTAAAATTTTGGCCCTTAATTCCTTTCGAATATCAGAAATATATTTCAGTGAGTGGTTCTTAATGTATTCAAGATTATTTCAACAAAGTTCCAGCTCGAATGAAAGAGTTTTAATTTTGGAGCGATTTTCGTCCAAGTAGCACTTTAAATTGAAAGATATTCCATAAAACTTTGTCAAGTGTTTAATAGTTACATGTAAATGCTTCTTTTGTTAAGAACAACATTTTAATYGAAAAATGCATTAAAAGTGACTTTGCTCAATCTTGTATTGGCATACATGCAATCTTTGCTTGTAACCTACTCAAGGATCCAGTACAGAGGCGGCGGAGCCCTTTGAACCGTGAGGGGACTCATTTTTATAAAAATTCCAAAATACATTAAACGTTGTCCGTTCACATTAACGAGTCCTTAGGCAATGTTAATGTTAACGCGATGTTACCACATCATACCGATTTTTAATTGGTTAACATTTGAATGGCTTCCCTTAATGATTGTAAATGCATTTTGGCCGACTTTTCAAACATTTATATTATGTTGGTTTTCATTAAATATAAAAAGAAACAACAATAGATCTAGTATAGAATTCTTATTAAAAAAGATTTAATGACATGTTTCAGCAGTCCAGCTGCTATCATCAGTAGTAGATAATATAGATCACAAAGCTAACTAGTTATATAGCAAATATATATATATGAATATGTATAGTGTAGTGATTACAATGTATATGATGTGTAAAGACAACAAGTTAAGCACTTAAACCTTTGTCTTTCTATTTGATTTCTCTCAGTTGTTTTCTTTACGCATCATATACATTGCAATCGTTTCCAAAAGTTTCTTATGAACATTGCCTAAAAATGCCTCATTTTCATGTCTGTGCTTGCGATATTTATGAAAGCACTCACACATCTCGGAAATCACCTATTTTATAAGAGTGACCATGGAGGTAGGATCTATGATATGACTTTATTTTGTCACACAACTACACTGAAGTTTGCTTTAGAAGAACAAGAGATGGATTAGGAACCTACTTTTTTCAGTCTACATTGCCACATATTTTAGCTAGAAAATGCCTAAAATGCACCTGATATATTTCATGATAATCTATCATGTTGATAGACAGTGCTCTGGTAGCCTTGTGGCAGTGTGTGCCAGAGGTGTRACACATGCAGCATATCAGAGAAATAGGTACAAGGTTCTAATAGCTATTTGGTGCCACACCTAATTTGCATGGCAAATTAAATTAGGCTGACATTGGTGTGCCACAAACTTCTGGCAAGCTTGCGGCAGGGTTGAGCTTATAGCATTCGTTTTTTGGCAACCTTTTTCTTTTCTCTTGCTGTAATTGTTTTCATATATTTTTATTTATTAAGGGTTCTTCATATCAAAAGAAATCTGTGCGCAAATGTCAGTTAATATTTTGCACTTAAATGGTACTTCAACTGAATTGCTACAAAGGCRAGGTGTGTTTGATTGCGTGCTCATCTATCATTTGAGAGTTATTAGAAAACAAAAGGCTAAATATTATCTAAAATACACTGTTTTCATCAACATTATTTCATGACAGCAACATTTAAAAAAAAAAGAAATACGACTATACTTGCTAATTACTAGGATTGAACTTGTATTTGGTAGCTTATGACTTGGTGACATTTACCGAACTGTAAAACTGATTTAGTATGATCATCGATGCTCACAACAAAAAAGACAAAAAGTAGATGACCCCTCACATTTGCTTCCATATTTTCCCACCAGTGACCCACCACTTGAGAGTCTTGAGTTTATGGTGACCCCTCCTTATTCTTACCAGCCCACTCCCTGGCATAATAAATGGTCTCTTATTTTAATAATATTTTTTTAATGGTGGGTTGTTGTGCCTACATGTGACAAAATTCCTAAGCGGGAGAGTAGTAAGGTCGAAAACAAAAACTCGTGCAAAGGAAATGATGTAGCGCATTTCAATTTGATTTTTTCACTTCATGGTTTTCATTTTGGGGGACATTATCTTCATCTCGAATAAAAAAATAATAATTGAAAATTTCAGTTTCATCTAAATTGGGCTCCTTGTGCCCATGAGGATCTCCGCTTTTAGGCCGTGCCTAAATTTATATATTATTACTGATGCCATACATGCATACCTTTATATTACTGATGCCATACATACATATTACTGATGCCATACATGCATACCTTTATATTACTGATGCCATACATGCATATCTTTATAATGCTGATGCCATACATGCATACCTTTACATGACTGATGCCATACATACATACCTTTATATGACTGATGCCATACATACATACCTTTACATGACTGATGCCATACATGTATACCTTTATATGACTGATGCCATACATACATACCTTTATATGACTGATGCCATAGATACATACCTTTATATGACTGATGCCATACATGTATACCTTTATATGACTGATGCCATACATACATACCTTTATATGACTGATGCCATACATGCATACCTTTATACGTTTGATGCCATACATACATACCTTTATATGACTGATGCCATAGATACATACCTTTATATTACTGATGCCATACATGCATACCTTTATATTACCGATGCCATACATGCATACCTTTATATTACTGATGCCATACATGCATACCTTTATATTACTGATGCCATACATACATACCTTTATATGACTACATGATGGCGTACGTATGCCGTCCCACTGTTGCTCTCAAGTGTGGGACTTATTTGTGGATTACTGGTTAGTTACGAAGTATATATCAGTAGAAATCATGAAAAGGAACCTTGGATTTCACTGCTCAAATAAAATATCCTTTACCTTTGTGTCCTTTAGCAGTCGCAATTCAAAGACTCCATTCCAACATTACGAGAAAACGTTTTTAGGTTTCTCGTGTTTTAAAGGTAAAGAAATGTAACTAACGACCATGGGGGGTGGGTGGGGTGGGGGGGAATCAGAAACATTTATTGATATCCATTGCACTGTTCGCTTTTTATTATCCGTTTTTATTTCTTATTTGTATATAATTTATAACCTTCAGTGATATACTATGTACAAAAACTGTCTTCAGCATGTTTCGATAAGATATCACTGAGTTACACTAGAAGACTGGCTCACMGCTAGGGCCTTCAAAATAGGTTAACAAATGACGGATCCAGGGTGATATTTGAAAGGGGTGTGTACATAAAAGCCATTTTTATAGCTTCCTGACTGTTTATATCTCTCTTGATAGTTTTCAAACGAGCGCTAGCCATTTAACTCAGATCCTCCCTGGATCCGCCTTTGGGAACGCCGTTCACCGACCAATCTACTCGCTGTATAGATATAAACTCATGATCTATCATTGCAGGCGCCTAGGCACGCAGCTGCGTTAAGTAAAGAAAAAAATGCATGCAATAGAAATTGTCAACCTCTGGACCAATTGTATAATATTTAACGCAGGTTAAATGTTCTAGAAATGCCATCTTTGAATGCTAGCTAAAGTATAATGTCCACTTAAAGACAAKGCAACTACTGTCCTATATATTTAGCAAACGAAGCAGGCAACGATTGACTTAGATTCATAAGAAAAGAAGCATACCAGTGAATACCATCAGACAAACCGTTCCCTGTAGATATGTCCTTCCCAGTACCTGATAAGATGTTTCCTAGCATGGATGTAATATCATGCCAGATCCTTAGAGGTGCCATAACATTATGAGCAATGTCATGAGATTGCCAATGCGCATAGCATGATACGAGTACACCATCTACAAGCATTGTCCCATGTCGGGTCATGGGTGCATACATGCCTTTGGTTTTCAGTGTAGATACCCCTAACACTCTTCTAATGGAATTTTCCTGGCCAGATACTCGAACAAAATCACCAGAGGTGACATCGTCAGCATAGACAACTGATATGGCATCTGATTGGTTAGTTTTAGCAGCATAAATCAAATGACGGCCAGACAAGGCAATTTGTTTTCCGTCTTCCAGCTCAAGCACGTGGTAAAATCCATCACTTTTTTCATCCTTATGAAGGAATGTTATAACCTCGGTAAATATGATCTGATTGGTCAAGATATCGATCGTTTGGATTCTGTCACCGACACTGATGTCCTCCATTGGTGTAGGGAAGCCGTTCTGAAGCTGAAGTCGTGCATTGGCGGGAAAACACATCGTACGCGTGGAACCACAGTCTTTGCAGGGCTTGGGATCTACGAGGGGAAAAGATGATGCGGGAAAGATTGTTATTTTTTTGGACACTATTACGGGCATCATTGAAATTAAAAAATCCAAGAATTCAAATTTATGATCCTTTTTTTTTTTTTTTTAATTGTTTTTGTTTTCGTAATTTTTTACTTATTCTTTTAGTTCAATTTAATTTATCTATTCATATTTTGTTTTATTTATTTATTTTTCGCTCACAAAAATCTCGATGAGTTGGGCTTCCTGTGTGTCAAGTAACGCCTTATAGAAATCATGCTGTACACGTATACGAGTTTCATATAAATATTTTAAATCCTGTGTTTGTATGGTGATTCAAGTGACCTTACTCAAAAATAGCCAAGCCAAGAAGATTCCAGCTTCTTTCTACAGTGTCTTAGTAAGACCAGTGATTTGTTTTGACCGGTACTTGGCCTTGTAGAAGCGACCAACGAACTATCGATACGGTATGTCCATATTCACCTCATCATACACTCGACTATCAGTATGTCTACTTGTAATATTAGTCATTTTGTATATTATTCATTACTACTCATGGCCGTCGTGGAAATACAATGTTTTACAGTCGAAAAATTCCGCAAAACATGTACCAATTTCGCCGAAGCTTAGAATTCTTTGCTTCGGCGATTCTCTGACAGCTGGGATGAAGAAGAGAGGAGACATGGACCCGTCTCATATTTATCCCTACTCAAATACTCTTAAGAAACTCTTCGACAAGCATTTATCAAGGAAAATACGAAGTAAATTATCGGTTCGAATTCAAACTGAGGGTGTTCCTGGAGAAAGAGTGCTTGGAGGAATGAAACAAAGACTCTATGGCTTGATGAATGGTAATGTTACGTATGACTGGGTCGTAATTCTCGGAGGTACGAATGACTTGAATTTTTTCCTACAGCAACCAACCAAAGCTCCTAATGTAACAGCCGTCTTGGAAGAATTGCTTGAGTTACATGATTTAAGTCATACTTTTCTTGCCAGAACCATAGCTGTCTCTATTCCTCCAAGACAATGCGAAAGAACTTCTAAATGTAAGTCTTACACAGACGCTCGTCACTACATAAACAAAGAACTCCGCCTGTATTCAACGAGTAGAACGGGGGAAACGTTTTATGTTGACATAGAGAAAGAAATGAGAACTGATAAGCCGTATTGGAGCGACGAAGTTCATTTTAATGATCTTGGCTACGACAGAATAGGCAGTATTATATTTGACAGTCTTTATAAAAATATTTAGCTGAGCGTGACGACGCTACCGGACATACATCTGCAGCCATCTGCAGGTTGTTTTGAAAATATTTTGGGCTACCTGTGGTTTGGTCAGCAAGAGTTTTTGGAAGTTACTTTCAACTAACTTAAAAGTCATATAATATATAAATGTACTTAAAAGTAAGGTTGAAAATCATCAGTACACTTTACAGACCTTTATATCTTCACTTTTATATCTCGGTCTTTTTATTATTTTTTAACTTTTTTTATAGAGAGGGTGTGTAGGCGTAGTTTTCTTACTCGTAAAGAGGGAGGGGGGGGGGGTGGGGGAGGGATAGAATTCATAGAAATTGTTTTTAAAAACGTTTTGTCTCTCTACCTCTGCCATATATTAATACCATGAACCACCACAAAAACAAATGTAGAAAATCTGCTAGACCAGTGGTTTGCTTATAATTACCGCCACCTCTCACGTAATGAAATTGTACCACCCCTACCCCCATTAGTTATATGGTACACAACTTACGTTTGCCAACGAATCTGTAGACATAGTTTGCGCCTGACTTGCCTACTCCATGATGGCAGTCAGTCGAGGGCCCATCTCTTGCGTAGGTTCTCTCGGAGTCCTCTCCACTCCAGCATTCGCCATTCGACTGTATTCCGAAAAATCCAAATTTCATTTCGGCAGCTTTTTTTGCACAAGCAAAGATTGTGTCGTTAAAGTTCTCTCTAACCATGGGATTTTTGCTGTCGTCTCGGAAGTCTGCGATCAGTTTCGGGAGGGGTCGGGGCTCCACGTAAGAATCCCGAAAGCAGCCGACGGACCTAATGTCTAAAAAATAAGAATGACAAATATTAATATTTGCAACAAAGACAGCAAGAGATCATTTTGTTATCTTTAGGTATTGTACGATGATATGACAAGAACACACCATAGCATGAAGCAACTTCAGTAGTAACAACCAAAAATAGTAGTAAACATATTCAATTCAATTCAATTTATTTCGAATGGCTAACAGAAAAGTGTAAATAAGCCTAATTAATAAAAAGCCTAAGAAATAAGCCTAATTACGTAGATATTTAAACAATTTGAGTAAAAAGATAGGAAGAAAAGAGCATGATAGATAATTGTGGACTAGTAATAGCAAAACTCGATCAATGTAATTATATTTTTAAAAATTCGCATGATCAAAAAAGGGAAAACAGTTCAAGAGGACTTTTGAGCTTTTTTTATTAAATACGAGCCTTTTTGGTGATATTTTTATATGTTGAATTGCAACCTTTTTTTAATTCTTGGGGTGCATGTTACGTCATAGCCACCATATTGGTTGACGATAGCAAAGCATTCCTCGTTAGCCGCTGCTTCATTGTTATATTTTGAGTCACGAGAATTGGGAAAATCTCCCGAGAATTGGGAACCTATTTTTGTCCTCCAATTTGAGCTGTATTCTGACCTCCTGCAAGAGAGGTCTATAGACCCTTTCAGCTCGGGTGTAACGTTATAATAAACTTTATTTCTCAATATACACAACGTGTCATTTGCTAGAGTATATACCATCTTTTGTTTTAACGGTTGTGAATGATGATAAGACAAAGAAATATCGATACAACTTGAACAAAGAATATTATTCTCAAGGGAATGAAACGTGATCTGAAATGGAAAGACAGCCCAAGCTAAAAGGGTCTATAGACCTCTTGCAGCAGGTCGTAATGCAGCTCAATTTGGAAGACAAAAATAGGTTCCCGATTCTCAGGAGATTGAAATTCTTTTTTCTTGTACTCCAAATTGAGCTGCTTTGACGTCACAAAGGGTCTATGAATCTATTTTTTTACTGTATGATACTGACCAGACATACTCAAATTCTCTTTTCTTTGTGCGGTAGTAGTATTTTTACTAGAAGTAGCGGTGGGTGGTGCAGAGGTGGTAGACGTACTCGTACTTGTTACATTACCATTACTTGAAGGTGTTTTTGGCCCCCCTGGTTGGACCGGTGTAGTCGTCTCACCCGAAACTCCTTGAGGTTGTGTAACTGGTTTTGTCACCTGTGCTGGTTGAACAGGTTTGACCGGATTACTTGGCTGGATTGGATTGACTGCTGGGGTGGTTGGCTGTTGTGGTTGAGTAGGTGCATTCGTTGGTGGGGTGATATTAGCAATAACCACAACTAAAATTAAATAATTAACATAAATAGACTTGTTTGTAACCATCAAGGTAGAACAATGAATGCAGGAGGAGTGTATTTCCTTCCAGCTGTCTAAATATCATGTTATCCCGTCCTAAGTCCTCCAACCCTTCCTCCCTGGCGATGAATAATGACAAGTCCCTTATGACGTCATCTACTTAATAGGTGTATAGGCAGCCATGACAGGAGGCAGGAACAATTGAAACTGGTCTAATCTGATTTACATGAGAAAGGATTCAGTTTCCCAGGGGAGCACGACTCTATTATTATGCCTCCTGTCATGGCTGCCATCACGTGATGGTGCAAAGCCTCTATAAAGATGATCGCGGAATTCATTGAGCTACATTCAGACTATTACATACTGAATAACCATGCAATCACCTGTTTAAAGCATCCAGGATCGAATCTGCCCTTTAAGGTGTTCATCAGAAAACACCCTGATTATAGGAATGGGACATTACGTAACACTTCTTAGATACCGCCTTATGTAAGTACAAGTGGCTGCCATTAAGTTATTACCTGTATTGACACTTTCGTTATTCCGTGGTCCAATGTTGTACCATGTGTTTCCTGGTTCTGGTCTGGAAATGACTGGAAAATAAGGCAAAGCCAGCAAGTTCCAAATCAGACAGGTTCAGATAAAAGATTAGACAGTTAAGATAAAGTTATATTGACTTATTGATTGATTGATTCCCCATGCGCGTTTCCTCTGCTGCCTCTAGACCTGTCCAAAGACCTTCACAATGAGCTAGACAAACAATAATGAAAAAATGGTTTTCTAACCTTCACAAGGATAAAAACTCCAGGCTATCACCATGACAACCAAGAATGAGATACTCTGGAACTTTGCCGGACAAATGTTTAAGCGAATATCGGCCATTTTGGTTGTAATCTATAAAAAAATTTAATAAAATACAAGATATAGTTCTTCTTTCAATAATCTTAATCTACACAAGTGTATAATATGTACCTATTTCATAAAACCGAGTAATTCACGCTGCAAAAAATTGATTTGTTCACAGCCGAACAACGAGTTTGCTTTTGTATTTAAGCCAGAACACATAAAAGCACAAAATTTGTGTTTTGTCTCGAATCGCCCATCTCAAATCTTCAACCGACAACGTTTTTTGAAATAGGTGTATATGATGTATTAAATTTCTGTAGGAGGTAACCACACTGATCATAAGCTAACAATGTAACCCAAGATTTTAAAAAATATTTTCTGAAAGTATTTGTTGGAACGAAGACACCATTATTTTCATTTAATGATATTTTATTTTTTCTGTGCGCTGATTGGTCGATGCGAAAATATGACAGCAAAAACGATCGTAAAGCTAGGTGTTGTTAGAATTGAGGAATTAACGAAGGAAAGCGCCGAAAAATAAGTGGGTTTTGTTCGGTTGACAACGAAAGCAGGTTTAGTGTCAATTAATATAGTTTAATTACGCCCTAGCAAGGTCTAATGGATCCATAAGCGTGCCTGAGGTAATGGCACTTAAAGGGTATAGGGCATGGCGCTTTAATTACAATGAATATTCACTGGGCTGTGTCAAGAGTGCCTTGGATTCAACTGGTACAACAGAGGGGCGTAGAAAGTGCTATGCATATGAGGTTTAGATATGATTTTCGCATGCACCAACCCCTCTATTTGATTCAAGCCCGATCCGTTTAAAGACTACAGCCTAAAGTTATTTTGCTGTAAGTGTAGACTTGCTAAAATTACTGAAATTGTAAAGAAAAGTGAAGTCAAAAGTGAAGTCTGGAAGCAAGAAAGACAATGACAGACTACCACGCAGGTGGTGTCTTCGTCATTTCAAGTGTTTTTCCTATAGAATTCTATTGCCCGTTAGACTGTGGGCGTTCCTCGAGCAAACTGCCGTGGAAAGAAATGAATAGCCGAAGCTAATAGGGTTGTTTTTGATTCCTGACAGTTTAGACCCAATCAGTTGTATTCATCATTTAATGTTTAAAATATACGAAGATATACTGCTTTTCCAGGTCAAATAAAGAGGTGCAGTTGACTTAAAAAACAAGAATTTGAATTGAGCGTTAAAATGCGGTAATTTTGGATGAATTCCTTACTTTCCAAAGTTTCCAGTTCGGTAGAAATAAATCATTGTCTTGCGACATAATCGATCCCTTGCTCCATAATCGAATTTGGAATGTTGATTTTTTCAAAGGGGAAAAAACGGGAAAACCTGAGAAAGGACCTCACAGCGCACAGCAGTCGAGAACAAACTGCAATTTAAGTCATATATGACAGGGGATTAGACGACGGTCGAGCCCACCTTCATAGTGGTGAGAAGCGGCGCATATAACTGGTGCAAAACACGCGCGCTCCATAAATATTTTTGGCCGTAATCAAAACTAGATATGATCGATCATTATCGTACAGTTATTTATTTTTTTCATGAATTTCGTTGGGGCATGCCCTACATTACAAAATGGAAATTTAAACCGAAGAATAAACCTAGGGTTATTGTGCAAATTAGGGAGTTATTAATTGAAAATTAACGAAAGAAGGTTGTTTGGTCTATCACGTTTATCAGCCCAAAAAAAACAATAACACCAACCATAATAATAGAATAAGTGTTGTAAGTGTTGTTACTTCTACATTAATTTCACACATTTCTGGGAGACAGTAAAAATAGAAAGTATTAAACTCTTTAGTGGTATTGAACAAAGCATCACATTGAAGGTGCAAAAGTCTCGAAGTAAACTATAGCTGTAATAACATGGCTAGCTGTTCTAAAGGTGCAAAGAGTGTATACTTACGTATACGAAGATTGGTGTCCTCAAATCGGAATATTGTGGCAGAGTTTATTTTGTCTAGATAGAACTGGGTAGTTCAGCGTTCCAAACAGAAAACAATGCAACTTTCTACGCCAATTTGCTGCCACTACGTAGCTTGATTAAACCTTGTTTGCTGCTTTTGTATGTATCTGTAGGGGGTAGAATTTTGTTGTCATTGATCCGTACGTTTGCTGGCTACATGTTTGTAGCATAAGAACATTGGGTTCGTGATGAATTAATAATAAAGCTAAGACAAGTGAATCGGCTGGTTGGTCACCGATACCACCTGTATCTAGTGTAGTTGAAGGAGTGATTTTTTTATTTGCGTTAGCTACCTTATTTTCCTTCGCTTGTCGATTCATTCTGGCACAGAATAATCCCAACCGAACAATCCTTCGATCCAGGGAAAGTTCAAAAAACACATTTCAATTTAGAAGTTGGTTCGTACGAAGGTAGGAAAATTGGAGAGGCTGGAGAAAAACCCTCGAAGCACAGGACGGTAACAACAGTCAACTGTTCTCACTAACACAGTGCTAAAAACAGTGAATGAAATGAAGAAATTTGTCCAGTGCTGTTAATAGTGAGAAGATCAAATTTTGTTGATGTTAGCCGGTCTCTGATCTTATTTGCCGCGGGGAATTTTCTGGTCTCTTCTCTGGTTTTCCTCCCTTGTCCTACTTTATATTGGCCGTAGTTTGTTGCTCTCTTATATCATATTTGGCTATGGCCGAATGAAAATTGCGTGAAAATGGTGGGTTTTCTCAAAACCGCTTACAGCAAGAACAACATTATTACGATTAGTGTTATACTCGTCGATAGAAACAGCACAAAATGATATCTTTATTGCGAGCAGTGGGAATCAGTTGCTAATAATTAAATCGAACCACTATGTTTTCCAATCTGTAAGTTATTTTTATTTTGAAATATATAGACCCTTTGCCAAAATGGCGGCCGCACATTCGATTGAGTTAAAATTATAATCAAACTACGTAAGTGGAAAACCAATAGAGTACAAACACTATAAGTGTGTAAAATAAATACCACTAAATACTCCTATAATCCTATTATTTTCTATTGTTTAATTAGCACTATTTACTACTAAATAGAGCAAAGTGTTGCACACTTTTAGTGTTTGTAGTCTACCAGCACAGGCTAGGAAATAGCACCTTTAGTAGTCTTATGAATACACCCCGCGAATACGTTATAACCGGCACATACAAACGTCCGTAAGTTTGTCAATGTTCAACTTAGAACAGTTTTCGGTCGATATAGCACCTGACATATTGAATCTTTCTAGGGTTACTAAATCAAAGGTGTTCTTGTTAGTGCTCGTTAAGTTTTTAATTTTAACCCGTTTCAGTTTTTGGCAAAGAGTCTAGTATTCAGATGTAGCTAGCCTCACCATTCTGTAAAAAATAACTGGTTGAAACAACCGAAACAATTTGTGAAAACGTGAAAACGCAGAGTGTGAGAGAACCAGTTTTAATTTGGTTGTCTTCTGAACTATCTTTCTATCTTCTTATCTATCCCGATAAATATTTTCAGTTAGCAAAACATTATTTTTGTAAATTAAAGGGCAAAAAGGGCCAAGGGGCGTGATTAGTCACCAGCCCCAGGATCCGCTCATACAGCCCATGCACTTGTTTACCTATCTTTTAGGCATAATCATAGTCTTAACATTACATAATCATGTGCTGCAGTGATTGCCAAACGCCCCTCTGCAACGTCTTGCAGCCTGTGATACATTGGCTTATTACAATTAAGACGTCCTCTATCTTAATTCGATCAGTCGCAAATCAGCCACACGCGCGGATATTGGTTAAGTTACAAGCACTGGTATTCTGACCGTAGCTTGGCTAGGTCCTTTGTATCTGTCTGCTCTCTTCTCGGTGATCCAAGATGGCGAACCTCCTTTGTACCCTACCAGAAGCCAAGTGCTTCGCATCGAAACTGCAGTGGGATTTACGGCACCAACGGATCGTAGAGCTGGTGCTGCAGTATTTACATAACGACTATTAGTGCTGTCTTGCACAGCGATGATGACAATACTCTCTCTAGGCAGTTGATCCAGGAATGCCTTCATATTCCTTCCTGCACTTGGATCGTCGTGCGTGTCAAATACACTCTTCTTCTGATAAATACCATATTTGTTCAAGACAACTATGTTATGACCTCTCCCCTGAGGAAGATATAACAACAAGAAGTATAAGGCAATGTTTTCCATGTGTATGTTGTGAGTTTCTACTCCCTCGTTCTATACCGAGTGGCGGTTCTAGGGGCATATAGATGGACATTATGCCTTTTTTTAAACTTCTCAAAATTATGATTAGTCATTGCTATAATGACTTGCTAACGACTTGTCAAGAATTATTAAGCCTTACTCCTCATAGTCAAATTTATTATAGTAATTATTAATTATTATAGTAAATTTATTCAATGTTTTTGAATGAGAGCTCATTCGTTTTCTATTTGTATTCGTTTGTTTGTTTGTTTGTTTGTTTGTTTGTTTGTTTGTTTTTGTACTGTTTTTTTCGCATGCGTATGTGTAGTTTTCTTAGTAGTTTTGGTCATTCTAGCTCTTGGTTAATGATTTGGTTTGTTGACGACAGACTTACATTAGGACAGTATTCCACATTGTTTACTTTAATCATACACGTCCCACATGCAACTCGTTTGCCGGGGTTATCATCACAGCCTTCTGACTGAACGAACACTTTTACATAAACCTGAACTAAAAGAAAAGACGTGATAAGACATTAGCACTGATTTCTTCAGCCCTGATGTAATGCTATATATTCCTCTGGAATAATTGCAATTGTTCAGTCAAGTTTAGGATAGCTTCAATGTTATAAACTAAAGTTGGTAAGCTAGTTATTAACAAAAGTCTTTTGTGAGGGAAGTAGAAAGTTCAATTAACTAAATTCCAAGCCTGGCTTGGATATGGTTTCCTCGTTTCAGACTACGTGTCATTCTCTGTAGTATTATTTCTATGCTTAACGGTTGCACATGAAAAAAAACATGAATATGGATACAACTCAAACAAAGAATCTTATTCTCAAGAAAACGACACGTGGTGTGAAATATTACACCCAAGAGGTTTATATGAATATTACCCGTCAGATCAAGGTGTTCCCTTGCTGAACCAAATTCATTGCTAGCYTCACATATATATCTTCCAGTATGCTCGCTTGCTAAATTGGCGATCCTCAGCGTCAAGCTGCCATTAGTGTGTCGAAGTACCGAGTTTATAGCCTTGTTTTTGAATTTCCAAATGAGTTTTGGCGCTGGTGTTCCCTTGGCAGAACATGTTCTAGAAAAGCTAGATCGCTCATCTAAAGTGATCTTGGAGGATCCGCCGGATGATGTTATCCATGGCGAGACTGCAAGAAATGAGAGAAAAGGAGAGAAAAGCAAGGTAAAGCACAAGCAAAATAAAACAAAGCAAAAGGGAAACGCAATTATATGAAAGGAAGAGAATTAAGAAAGGAATGAAATTTAATTTACAATTACAAGGAGCAAAAAGAAAAGGAAGCAAAAGAGAAAAATAAAGAAAAGAATCAGGAAAAGAAATGGAAATGGAAAGGCAAACATAAAAAGGAAATCAAAAGAAAAGTATGGAAATGATGGAATGGAAAGGAAAGAAAAGAGAACGCACAAGAGTCGACGATATTGCGTTACCTGGGTCCTTGACAACCAAAAACGTTGTAACCGTAACTTTTCCAAGGATGTTTCTTGCCGTTGCCTTGTAAAATCCACCGTCTATGTACTCTACTCCATCTATAACAAGGTTCGCGGCTTCTTGTCGAAAACGCTTGTTCATTTTTATATTATCAAGTCTCTTCCATGTTATATTCGCTTCTGGGAATGCAAACACTTCAAAATGAAGCACCTTTTCTGTTCCTCGATAGCCATTCTCTAAATCATTTGGTTTTCTTCGGATTTTAGGCCCGACTGAAAATAAAAACATAGTTTTTTTAAGTTTTTGCTATTTTCCTATAGTACATGGCGAAATATTATTTATTATATATCATATTATTCAGCTTTAGCATAACATTTTCCCATTTCAGATCATGTGCTATTCTCTCAAGAATTATAAGATTCTTTGTTTGAGTTGTATTCATATTCAGGTGTTTTTTCGTGCGCAACCGTTAAACAAAAAAATGATACTCTAGAGAATGATATACGTTGTCTAAAAATGGGAAAACATTACGCCCAAGCCCAAAACCATAGTACTTTTTTCATTGCTACGCGCTAATGGAGGCAACCGTCGCGATCGTAAATTCGCGCAATCAAACAAAAAAACTGAAACAATTGTATAATTAAGGAATCAAACCCAGATCCCATACCAAAAGATCAAAGTCTACGAGCGATCAACCGCTACACCACTAATACATTTCAAACAAATAATCTTATTCTCAAGAGAGTGACACATAGTTTGAAATGGAAAGGCATTGCGCATTGAGATTTTTTGTTTACCATCACTGCGGAAATGTAGTTAGACAGCAAATCACACCATGCTGCGCGATTATTGTAATTCGTCTTTGGGGTATATTGAAATACCTTTAATGATTTTTTGGTCTTCGACTAAAACGGGATATAATATTTTTTATTACCTTGAACGACGACTATTGCTCTTTTTGACGCTGTTCCTACTGTGTTGCTGGCTTTACATACGTATTCTCCACTATCTTCATACTGTACATTGGATATATTCAGCATCTGTGAGTCAAACTTATATCTCTCTCTAGGAAAAGATCCATTTGTTTTATTCCATGTAATATTAGGTATCGGATACCCTGTGGCATTGCAGGGTAGAGTAAGGGTCTGGGTCTCGTTAATCGTCAATTGATGATCTTGGAAATACGTTATTACGGGAAACACTGCAAAACAAGTTGAATTAAAAACTTGAATGATGTGGCACCCTYTTAATTTGGAAAATTAATGTATTTATGTTTTTAATTTAAATTTTATTTCATAATCGTACTTTAATCGCTGGTCGTCCGTAGCCGCCGTCTTCGTTGAACTTGTTAAATCATTTAATTTGTCATTAATTACATTTGTCATATCATAAGGATTTTTAAAAAAATTGAAATAGAGGTCTTGCACCATCACGTGAAAGCAGCCATGTTAGATGGCAGGAACAATATACTCGTTTGACGAGAGAAAGAATTCAATTCCCGAGAGCAAAGAGGTTCTATTGTTTTGCCATCTAGCCACAGGCAGCCCAAGCTGCATTATGGGYGTGATGATGCAAAACCTCTATATAACGCGCGCATAGATTGGCTGCTGGCCATCCTGTTATCAGAGGACAGAGACGACGCGCAAGCTCACGCAAAATTAATATGTCGGCTTCTTATGTTCTGTACTGTGTTGTAAACACTTTAGGAGCTACACTTCATTTTAAAGTGCAAAAATTGCAAACAGATGTCTCTTCCTTTTTTGCCCCATCCCCTTTTCTCCCCTTTTCTCCTCTTTACTCCCCTTTTCTAATTGAGATAACAATAGTGGTATGGACTTTTTCGCTGAGTATATGATGAGAGAGAAGAGAGGAGAGAGAAGGAAATGTGAAATAAGAACTTACCGTTAACTGTAACAGTAGTCTCAGTTGAACTTGCTCCTAGAACATTAGACGCAACACATACATACGACCCTTCTTGTTCCTTGGTTATCTTAGTGATGTGCAAGTCCCCTTGGATAATTCTATACCTACTAGGCATTACACTACCATCCCTCCTGTACCACGTGATCATAGGACTAGGCACCCCAGAGGCGCGGCATCTAAGCTGTACATCCTGGTTCTCTGTGACCGTGATGTTTGATGGAACAGAAGTGAATTTGACATACACTAAAGAAAAGAACAACACATTCAGACTTGTGCCCAGGCTATTTTTATTTCACTTGACAGGGTAAGAAAGAGGGCCTGGTATTGAGGCTGTATTGATGGTTTTCAACCATTCCCAACAGAATTAAGTAACAAAAGACACGGCGGCCATGTTGGAGGATATTCTTTTGTTATGTTCCTCCAACATGGCCGCCGTGAAAACCATCAATAGTCATTAAAAATTGATGTTTTTCTTGGTTTTCGTTTTGTGTCAAAGCCAGCCAGATAACCTGTTACAGACATGTTTTCCTTGGAGAAATAAGACATCTGCAAAAAATGTCATGCAAAAGCATTCTTGTCAATAGATCGAATTTGTGGCGTGCATTCCTTTTATGAAAATAATATAATAATAAAAGGCATGGCCGCCATGTTGGTTGATATTTCAAAAAAGAAAATGAACCTTTTGGTTATATAAGTCCTCCAGCATGGTGACTGTGACCTCACATGTACCCAAGAAGTATTTCTCTACGAATACTTTCGCGAGTATACCTTGAACCAGAAGTCGTATCTTGTATCTTAAGACACCCATGATGTTTCGTGCTTCGCATATGTAGTTTCCAGTATCACTCGAACGTGACCTTTTGATGACCAAAGAGCTTTCTGTCACTGGATGAGGATTTACTGGACAAGAAGATTCGTTCGATCCTGTGAGGAAGGAAATCACAACCAAGATGTGCAATAGTCAAACTTTGTATCAAGAGGCTGGAGCTCAAATCCCTTCGCATAGCATTTTTTGGGTTGCGCTTATTAACGAGCTGTTCTTTATGCATACCAAGCGAAAATGCACTATGGAAAATGTGAAGGCAATCGGTGAAAGTTGTCGCAACATGGGATTGTTCCAAACTGTCATTATCTATGAGTATAATACATTTCATTCAAGATTTGCATACGTAAGTAACATGCAATATGCAACAAGCAACCGACAGGGCAGAAAAACGGTTTTTGGCCTTTCGTCATAAGGACAGCTTTAAGTATTTAAGCTCAATATTTTGTAAACACGTTCTTTTGGGGACAAATAGCAAAATATCAAATGCGACCAAAATTCATTGAATGCGTATTTGAGATATATAGACGTGTACTTTGGGAGAGGGGATATTTTGATACAGAAAAACTGACATTTTCGTGAACACTAGGATTTACTCTAATAATGCGACAAAATTTCGTCACAAGTTTCGAGCAGCAGTGACACAAATGAAACGCTTAAACATGTTTTAAATAAAAAATCGTGAAAGTAGCGGGCTTGTCGTTTTTCTGCCCTGTCAACAAAGCCAACAAAATAGCAACTAACAAGGTTCATTTTCATATGTCGATATTCCGTTACCTGACTGAAAAATAACCTCTTTCACTTCATAATGATTATCTGAGCTGTCTTGAATAGGTATCGTTACTTTGTCACGATACCACGTGATACGAGAATATGGATTCGCTGTTGCGTTACACACCAGTAGAGCTGAATCTCTCTCTCTAAACGCAAGATATCGAGGAGTTGAAACGAAAGAAGGCGGAGCTGAAAACAACAAAACAKCGTGGAAAAGTTATAAAAAGAAAATTCATTCAAAATGGGTGGACTGTAAGATCGTCCAAATCCTCACCCAACAATCTCATGTTTTTAAAAATCGTTGCTGAATACACTCTCAACCATTCTCTTTCCCAGAGCCATTATTTTTCCATGGGCATGCCCCAAGAAATAACCAGGAGCCTAGTTATTTCTTTGCTTATGCGCAGTAAGAATCAGTACTTCATGGGAACCAGATTGACCGCATTAGGAAATGATAGCATTCCGTACCATTATTTCGTTCATGCGCAGTAGGAGTGAAAGTGTTCTGGGATCGAGAGCAAACCAAAAAGAATGGAACACTTTCATGGTCTCGATTTGTACCAATCAAATATGAGCGTAAGTAAGATATGACAGAGTACTATGTGTGTTTGCAGGACCTCAAGGAATACAAGTTGTAATAGATACATGGCAACATACATGTTGATCATGGCAGTCATATGTAAATAGACATTACCAAAAGAGTCACCAGGACATCCTCTTGGTCCAACTTTTCCTTTCACCCCTCGTTCGCCTTGTTCTCCTTTTTGACCTGTCGTATAGATAACGACCCCCAAAAAAACAGTTTTTAGGCTTTGGTTTATAAAATCATTTGGAAACTATTTCAAGGCAAAAGAGAGAGCACATACCTCCAAAATCTCCTTTAGGTCCTTGGGCTCCTTTTTGTCCCTTTATTCCAGTGTTCCCTTTGTCCCCTTTAGTGCCCTTAGGTCCCATATCTCCTTTCAGACCAATCACAGTAACATTTCCACTGAAGCCCTTTTCACCACGGGGTCCAGGAGGGCCATGTTTTCCAATGCTTCCCTTGTAACCAGCTTGTCCTTTGGGACCTGTTATAGCGGAACAATACTATCGATCCATCCATAGTAAAGGAGAAAAGAGCTAAGGAAGAGTGGTCCTCTTCACAATGAAGTCTACCTACGTTCATTCCTGCTCCATACGTAGGGCTCCCGATGTCCCAATAGACCAGTTCTAGTTCCAAAACCGCTGTGTTCCTTGATTACAGACTCATTTACACAGGGTTAGCCTTGAATCAGTGTCTAATTACTCGCAAATACCAACGGTAAAGTAAAGAATGCACAACTTYAACAATACAAACACTTTGAAATTCCACGGACCTACGCTGAAACACATCAACATATAGCTGCACAAAATAGACGCTAAACATGAGCAACAGAAACTGGAGTATTCTTAAAGGATTCAAAACAGAATAGCTTATACGTAAGACCTTATTGCTTGTACTTGCCTCTACGCCCTCGTCTTCCGGGTTTGCCTGGTGGACCTATAATAAAAAAAGGTTATGAGTACCATTATATGTCATATGCATCAAGTTCTTAAGAATACATGGAATGGCCAACGAAACGTCTTCTGAATCTCAGTGAACGGTAAAAGTAAAGACTTTTTTCACACAATAGAGTAGAGCAACTTCATCCCAAAGCCTCGTGTAACACATTCAGCAAAGAAACTGGTATCCAGAGGGGTCCAACATGCTACCAACATGTATTTTTTCCTAATGATACACTTGATACGTAAAATAATGTTTAAATTAAGTGTATATGACACAAAAACATTTCAACGTTTAGAATTTATAGTTTTCTAGTAATAATAAATATATTGTAATGAAATTTGTTTCAAAAGCTTATTGCTTGAGATATTTGTGACGTCATTTTGTTGACACGTACTCTAGATTCGGTAGTAATGTATGCACTAAATATAAATTGTAATTCGTATAAAATAACAACAAAAGGCATATAATATTCAGCTTTATTTGATAGCTTACGTCGTACTCTTTACGTTTTGGGAAACTCAAAAGTGTACTTAGTGTACAAGATTCTACACTCAAACATATTTCGTGTATTCGCAACTAAATCTGAAGACTTGTAAACAAAATGACGTCACAACTTGTGCTAATTTTTATGAATTTCTAGAGAAATACGTTTTTGAAACAAATTTAACTGTGATATTCTTATTCATGCCAATAAACTACARATTTTTAACTTTTTTTTKTGTGTGTGTGTGTATATATGCACTTCAAAATATTCAATAACATTAAGGAAACGATAACCTACCACGTAATATCTGACATTTATTAGGGCCTCTACCAGACCATTTGTTCTTCTAAAACATAAGTTAAATCACATAAGATAACTTCAGTGCTTCATTGTCGCGGGGGAACGGATGGACGGGGATGAGGACCCTATTTTTTGAGTCATCTGCTTGCCTCACAGGCTTCCCACCACAGGCTTCCCAGGCTACCCAGCTTATTATCCTGTGACTTAAAAGAGAGTAATATTTTTACAATTTTTTTGACAGTTTTCGAAAAAAGCGAAATTAGGGCATAAAAAGCTTTGATATCAACTGTATTCATTCCAAAGAAAACAAAATAAACAGAAGACTCGACAGCCAAGTTGGATGATACAACACAAGAGACTAATGAGATGTCTTTGTTAAATTTATCCCACATGGTGGCTGTGAAAACCAGCAAAAAATGTAACTCAACCGGTTTATAAAAGCAACGACGCGTGGTCTGATATTGAAAAACATTACGCCTACTGTGCCGAAAAGTTATATTGCGCATTCCGCGAAAAAAACATTCGGGTCTGTGTTTTAGATGTACAAGTATTCCAAGAGTCATTTTTTATGGGCGAGGCCTAGCTTAGTCTTTGATAACGGCTTGCAGAATCTAAAGGCTAAAGTCGTAAAACAATGACGAAGTTTTGAAATGTCTTTTCGCGTGTATTCAAAACACGGGACAATACATAAAAGACAAAAGACCCAAGAAAAGTTGTGAAAGCAAAATTCCACGCATTTAAACTTGATTTACAAACTTGAATATTGTGTTAAGTCAAGCATTTGATTGGATAGAACAAGGTTGTCGGCGTGGAAGGATCAGTTGGGAGTAAAAATCCAAGCTGTTCATTGAATCAGCACAAACAGCAGAAGACTGATTTAGAGATTAGGTAAGTTACAAAAAACTGTTTTAAGAATTCAGCCTAGCGAGAAAAGCAGAGTACTTTCTTGGCTGAACACGAATTAGCATTTGAGTCGGGAGATCAAGCAATCACTACCTGTTCATAGCAAAGAAGCCAAACAAGTTTCCTTTTCGTTTTAGATTCTCTATTATATCTTGGAAAAGCGCGCTTAAGGAGAAGGATGGCTTATTTTGGTCTTCATATCAAGGTAGGAAAAGATCTTCTGGTCTTACTAGTGCTGAATACATTAAATGTTTTTTTTTTTTGAAGAGCAAGACAAGCCAAGTGTCCAAAAGCTTACTTGCGTGAGTACCGTATTAAGAACTAGCTTGAATCCTTTTAGTCTAATTTAAAATGCTTCTAATATAAACATAGTAAATTCTAATTCGGTTCAAAATAGTTCCAACTGTTCTACTTTTCTCAGTTGCCCGCAATTTTACTAGGCTTCAATGTTGTATATTTTTAGGATCCCAAGTAACTAAAAATAGGAAAAAAACTTATTTGGTATTGCTGCTGTGTTGCAATCATTTTCAAGAGAATGAAATAACAGAAGACACGCCATGCTGGATGATATAACAAAAGAGACTATTGACGAAACTTTTGTTTAATTCATCCAACATGACGGATGTGAAAACCATCAATAAAAAATAAAGTTTGAAGAAAAAATTTTAATATATCATCCCGAACTAAACATTGTTTATTGAGAAGAGTGTTATTGCTGTGGGCTTCATAGCCATAGTTATCTTTTGGTTCCTATCAATAGGTTGCTATCAATAGACGTCACTTCCGGTAATAGCTCTTTTTTGATGGCTTGTAGAATCCTGGAGGTTGTTTTGATCTCTTGTTTTCTGGTTTGATGTCGTGAAAATAGTCAAATACAATAGTTTGAGGACTTATTTTGATATTATTTGACTTAACATCCGCTAGTTGCCCCCCAGTCAACCGCTTGTTTGCCCCCAGTCAACTCCAAAAAGTCACGTGATTGATAGTAAGCAATAGACGTCGTTTCCGGTTTGCTGGGGAACTTGCCATACATATTAATGAGTATGGGGGAACAGGGAGCCCAAAGCCACTGCTTAGAAACGGCGTTTAAAATAAAATTTATCACGCGTTAATGCTGTGTCACGCGTTTAGTTCATGTTTTTTTTAAATAAAAAAACATGATTAACATTTCTATTTCTATTTCTTTTCGTTTGAGATCGAGGTCAAAGGTCAGTAATACTCGATACTTACCTTGAGGAAGTTGTTCAGCAAGTCCAAGCATGTCGTTACATCTTCAAAATTTTTTGTGCTGTTTTTAAAATCCAGAACGTTTTGATTGTTTGTTTGTTTCGCCGTCTTACTCGTTTGATTATTTACACTTCTTTTAACAACTTTCTTCTCATTCATCGTGGGTCTGGTCTTGATGCTTTCTGCCCATTGCTTTTCCGTATCTGTAGTCGTGGATATCTGAGTCATTGATTCCAAATCGTCTTCGAGTTTCTTAAACCTGGCTTCGTACATCATTTGATTTCGAACAAACATGATCACAAGACCAATAGATAAACACACGTGAAAAACGTGAAATAATTTAAAGAGAGAATTCCTTCGGTTTGGCGTTGCGTCCATTTTGTGATAGTTTTGACGTGCTCCCTGTGTTATTCGACACCAGAAATTTTGAACTTTTGAGTTGACCTTTTAGAATCAAATATCGCGACACTTCTTGTTAAAACAGCATTTGGAGTGGTGCGCCCGGAAGGAAAAATCCACTCCACTCCACTCCACTCCACTCCACTCCACTCCACTCCACTCCACTCCACTNTCCGTTTCCACTCCACTCCACTCCACTCCACTCCACTCCACTCCACTCCACTCCACTCCACTCCACTCCACTCCACTCCTTTGCGAAATGCTGCAATTTGTAAGAAAAAAATATAGTGACACAAAGTATAGTGTATTGATAATTTATTCATTCTCCATTGAACCCTTGCAGTGACACCCATCACAAGTTAGAATGACAATTATCAATTACAAGGAGCCTTAGGGTTTAATACACATGAGTACAAATAGACTAATGTAATATTGCAAAATCGTGCGTTCTGATTAGCTTATATATAAGTGTATAACTTTATTCATACCTCATGCTAGAGAAAACTTACTTTATCATCATCATGGTCATCATCATCATCATCATTATCATCATCAATGACATTATCATTATCATTTATTTTTTGTTTTGTTTTGAAAAGCACATAATTATCTCAAGGAGAAAGATGAGTACATACATTTACAAAAGCTTTGCGTGGCATGATTTATCTTCCATAATTGATCTCCTGCCATCTCTTTCGTGTTACCTAGCCCTTATGGCCAAGGAATACTTCCTATATATGAAATTTTGCTCAATACCGATATAGGATCGTGAGCTATACCATCACACACTGCGCGTGTCACAATATACATACAAATAATATTTTTCAATTTAAGCTAGAGGTCAGCACACCCTTTCGTGCCAAAGATTGTCATAATTTGATTACGTTCTCGCCAATAATCGTCAAAACAACTCGTGCACTTTGGGAGATTCATTCTGGTGCACAGATTCTTTAATGAGGTAGTTGTCTTTATCCAATGCAATGTGTTTTAAATTCTGTCAGCTATTTTCGATTTTATACTTTATATGTCAGTATATTTTCGTTAGCATTTTACATTAAAACATTTGCTCTAAACCTAATCAAAGCGAAAACAACATTTTTAGATGAAACTATATATGCACTTGGGCATATCCCATGATCGTCTCGTCTGGCTCGAACGCTACTGCCTAGCTGATGCACAACTTAACGTTGCCTCTTCTGTCTATATTTTTGCGCGACGCCGCATTGCAGAAATCCAAGGGCTCAATGCTAACAAGTTTTGTCATACAGGCTTGGTTTCAAAAAAAATCAGCTAGACTAGATAACGGTGCAGTCAATTGACAGTATACTACTCAGGGTATCGGTATTATAACTTTAGCTTGGCTTGGTCCTTTGCCTTTGTCTGCCGTCTTCTCGGTGATCCAAGATGGCGAACCTCCTTTGTATCCTACCAGAAGCCATGACCCTCGATAGTCCACGGCAGTTGGGTTAACAGCACCAACCGATCTTAATGCTGCTGCTGCGTAGCTAACGTAAGTTGAACCGGTGTCTGCTATTGCGATAAGCACAATGCGTTCATTTGGAAGGTTGTTCAAGTAATTTCTCATGTCTACACCTGCATTCCTATCATCATGCGTGTCAAATGCCCTTTTCTCCTGATAAACACCAAACTTGTTCAGGACAACGACGTTGTGACCTCTCGTCTAGAAAAGACAGACAGAAAGTTACTGTACTGACACTCAAAATTACTGTAAGCTTGGTACTTGTTCATATTTTCACGCTAATAACACCAATTTTTTTTTTAATGGCCATTCTATGCTTTTCTGCTATAACTTCCTCGGTCGAAAATTGTATCAATATGTCACTGAAAGAGTATCCAAAAGGGAGTGAACGGATTTTTTCTTTCAAGTCTCTTTTCCATCGACATTTTTCCATTCTCAATTTCTCTTGAGAATTTCTCTCAAATTTAGAAAATATGTTTGCATGATGGGTTTTTGAGGAGAATGTAATTAAGGCACACATGTACAGCGGTATTTTAAGTCTACTTACATTAGGACAGTAATCCACATCATTAACTTTAATGATACACTTTCCATTTTCGCTGGAGACGTCTTCGACCCCTTGTGACAGGACGAAAATTTCCAGAGCAGCTGAAAGATCGAGAAAAAAATTGATTCACAAAAACCAACAATTGACAAGGACATTCTCTACTTTCACATCCCCATAATAAAGAAATATAATGACACCCAGCTTCAAGGCAATATTAGCAATTTATATTAAACTCTTCTAAAATTTCTTCTCGGTTTAGTCACCTTTTTCGCATTTCGCTCCTTCCCATCCAGGTTTGCATTGGCAGCGGTAGCTTCCCTCGTTATTTATGCATGTTCCTTGATTCTGACAGGGACTGGACAAGGCAGTACACTCGTTGATATCTCAAAATAAAAAAATATCGCAACCAAAAATATATGCGAGTCAGAAATTATGGAATAAAAGCAAGCTGAATAGCTGTTGCCAATTTGTAAACTATTCCCCCCTACCCCCCTCTTTTTGCCCAAAAATCGTTAATGTTTGTCGGTTGTTKTTTTTTTTTTTGGGTCGGTCGATTGGTACTTAGTTCATGATTTGGTTTGGCTTGGGTTGATTGTTTTTTAAAGCTAGGAATGTTGGTTTGTATATGGTGGTTGGTCGGTTAGTAAGTTGGCTTATTTCTCAATTGACACGGTTTTCTTTGTTATTCACAAGGCTTTATTTTTGTTATAACCCTCATTATAAATGCGAGGTCAATTAACCCGGTTAATAACTATATATAGACCGTTCGCATTTATAATAAGCAACATCTGATAGAAAACCTTCTCAATTGATAAATAAAATACTTAATTACCTCGAACGTCGGCAATAAGCCTATACATCCCTCGGGCCTGCACTCGGTCACTCGGTCACTCGGTCACTCGGTCACTCGGTCACTCGGTCACTCGGTCACTCG